TACCACCATTTTTCTTTGTGGATTCCAATAAAGAAAAGATCTACTTTTTCCGCGTGGTCCTAGCCTGGCGCAAAAACCTTTGTATTTAGTAGGCACCGTCCTTAACACGAGGTATAAAAATGAAACAATAAGATTTTCATGTGACGTCTTCGCCGCCATGTACATGTTGGTAGTCAGTAACAAATGATTTCTAATCAACAGAACTGTATTTTGCTTTCGATTCGCGCCTTTGTCATATCGTCTCTCGCGATTTACTCAAGACAACCTATAGACGATCCCTTTTCTTATTTTAAACACGATTAAAGTTAGTGACCCAAGCAGACAAGCCAAATCATAAATGAAGAACCAAAATGAATCCTTTCTTCATCGACAACTCAACGCAATCAGAAGTCATCAGAGGAGCAAGTGATTTCAAAATTTTGTTTTTTTTTTTCTTGCAGTGTCTTCGGGGTGTTTTCTATTTTCAATTCACTCACCTTAACTCGGATAGTGTATTCGAGTAATTTCCCTCTCACTGGTTCTGTTTACGATGTATAAACCTTGTACAGTTAATGATCGCGTTTTTCCGACGAGCCTGGCTTTCCGCAAACGTGACGTTGTGACGAAAGTTTAATTGTACGTTATATATGCTACATAACATGTCCCCGTATGCCGCATTCCAGTTTCATGCTTTTGGGGCGTTTCTTTCCGATGATCCAGACCAGGATCAACGATTCAGGGTCACTTGAATCATGGTGGACCAAGGAACCGGTGAATCTTTTCCCAGAGTCAAGACTCATCGGTTCTTTGATGCACCATGATCTGAGGCCTTGGATCACTGATCCTGATCCAGATCATCCCAAACTGACGCCCAAAACAATGGGTCGCAAAAAAAGACAGTTTTTATCATAATTTTTAATTTTGTATCAAAAGAAAACCAAAATGCGTTGAAAGAATCGCAAAAAAGGAATAAAACTGGTACCCTAAAAAGACCTAACTAACTCTAAATATCAGCTGTCTATCTTCAGATAAAAACCCCTCTGGCGTCCACAGAGGGCGAAATGTCCGCTACTAATCTGTTAGAAGCGTGACATCTGTTGTGTATAGATGAGTTAAAAAAATTCAATGAACTACCAAAAAAAAATACAAGACGCACATGCCAAACAAGGTGATAATTTTCAGGAGTAGGTGATTTGACAAGAGAATCAGTGGTGTGCAACAAAACACGAAAGTATTTTCTTTCCGTTTCTGAAGGATATTATACTCATGTCGCCTATAGTGACTTAGAGGGAGGGCCTCGGCTTAGGTCTCATGGTCATGAGAGGGTTCCAGTGTACCTCCTTTCCCGAGCTTGAATTTGTTGATGTTGTAATGGATCTTGGTGGCCCTCAACAGGCTAATTGCGATGCCATTGAAACATAGCGACGAGGCTCGGGGATCTCGAACACGGTAAGACTAAGATACATTTTTTAATTCATCCCTCAACCTCGACGTGTTTTCTTTTCGTTTCAGTCCCCCAGGCCCCGATGCCTAGTATCAAACATGCTAATAATAAATAGCTGTTGACATGTCCACGGCCGGACTTTTGCTGAGCAACAACTGTAACTTCGTACATACCCGTCTGTCGAAAGTCAGTTTACCGTACTGTTTCCATAGGTTTTTACAGTGGAGCTGTAAGGTGGCGTCAAACAAATTTCACAATATTATTCTTCGTCCTCGTCCACACTGTGCCAGAGAAAATTGAAAACGCAACAATCACTGGCCATTTTGGATATGTATTTGAGGAAAACTAAGACCAGAGAATCACACGATTATCGCGACGTCATCGTTTTCGAAAAGCTCCGGTTTCAAAAATTTTCCGTCCACACTAAAGCCTAAAGCCGGCGCCGGTTTTCCATTTCCTCCGCTTTTAAGAGCGTTTCCGAAAAGCTCTGTTTTCGGATTAGCGTGGACGGTAGGTCTAAACGTAGAAATATGGCTGCGTTTTCAAATTTCTCCGGCGTAATGTACACAGGGCCTTATCTGAAGTCTTTTTGAAACAGGGAAGCTCATAACTGAAATGTAGTTAAATCCATGAACACGTGAAAATTCAGACAAAGTGGGAGTTTTTATTAAGTCTCTTTCTGACAAGGCAGTACATTCAGCATCAATGCACAAAGGGTCACAGTTTAGGCCCACTCTGCTCCAGCACTCTTTCCATCCTGCATGGTGACTGAGGTTCCCCAATCTCCGCTAGGCTGTAGGTCATCAGCTCCCCATTCTTTGGGTGCAGGGTCAGCCCAATCCTTGGTCTCTGCCCAATCTTTTGCGGCAGGAGCAGCAGCTTCAGTACTCCAGTCTCGAGATGAACCCCAGTCTTCACTGGCACCAATGGCGGGAGGTACAGTAGGAGCCCCCATTTGTTCAGCACCCCACTAGAAATGAAATAATTTTTATGCCAAAATGTAAGAAAAGAATTACCATAAATCACCTTTTAGTAGTGTAACTTATGCAACTACCATATTCCATTTTCAAGCCCCAACAGTTATATAGGTTTCAAGCTAACCCCAATGCAAGGTTAGAGGTCAGAGGTCAAAGGAACAAGACGTTTGAAAGAATTTTTTTCCCCTTCAAGTGGAGTGTTTCAACACAAGCACTGTTCTTTCTAGGTCAGAAACTTTTGCCACTGACACTACCTTGGGAACTTACTTAAGCCTCGTCATCGCTGACACAAACTTAACCAAGTGAGGACACCAGAACGTAACCATGAGCACAAGCACAATCATAAGCTCAAGCATGCTTCAACAAGCACAGTCGTAAGGGACATATTTCATTCTTCTAAGCTTATGATGTGCTGCCTTTTACTATTCCAGTGGCACATCCAAGAGAATAGCTGTTCTCAGTCTAGGCTTCCATCTTTTTATGTCGCAGTTCATTATTGAATTTTTGAGAGAGAAGTGATGCTATGTACTTTTCAGGTTCTTCCTTTCTGGTATCTGTAGTTTTGTGAGATTCCAGATTTCTCCCAAGCATCAGATTTCATTGTTGGATACCAGGGGGGTGGGGGGGGGGGATATTACTTTGGGAAGTGTGTATTTCTTTTGTAACTGTAAGGTGTTGGGCTTCTGAGTTTTCATGCAACATAACTTGGTTTCCTGTAACAAGGTTTGATGGTGCATGAAAAATGGATCATTTATACCTCTTTAGAAACCCACTGTTGATTTGACTGGCCAAACAATGTGGAATATAAAAATAAGAACAAACACAATGAGTTAATGAAAAGAANATTGATGATGTGAACACCTGGTTAAAAACAAAAGCAAAAACCTCTTTCACATGAGCACCAAAGGGGCAGACCTGACTGTCCTTATTATGGAGGTAGGTGAGCTAGAGGAAGAGCTTATACAAAATTGGTTTCACGATGACCAAGTTAGCTTTCCATAAATGATAATATAGCCCTGTCTGTATTATAGAGGTGCCTGTAAGGCAAATTTTAACTGTAGTAGTACAGAAAAACCTTTCCTTGGGGACACCTCCACAATATATAGTAAATTCAATATTATTAAGACACCAGAATTCATACAACTCTCTACCTCCATAATAATGACAACTTTACTATACAAACACTCAGCTCTATCTCTTAGGTCTCCAGACTAAAGAAGTTCAAATGTACCTTAAACTCGGTGAAAAAATCCAAAACCTCACATAAAGAGATCCACTGAGAATTCTTACCATCGGGTTTTCTTTTGTAAACATAACTTTCCATTTGAAAGTCTACATTGCTAGCACCAAGATGAACTCCAGCAGCAAGTAGCTTTAAAACATCTTCTTCCTTTAACTGTAGAGCTTCAATGCCCCCAGACATTATGCTTTGCTGTGCCAAGAAAAGTGACGACGGAACAACCTGTTGCGCACAAGGTAAAAAGTCAGGTCAAATAATGCTTTATCTACAGTGAAGAAGAGACTGCCATGTATGAATGCTATACAGGAATAGCTGCTATGTATGTGCTGCTAGATGGAAGCAGTTTTTTTACCTTATTTACTTTTTGTGGTTAATATTTCAAATCAGTGTGTTGGCACTGTTATACAGTGCAAAGGGGTTTCATTAATGTTTTCAGCAAGAGGACAACTGGTTTTCACAGGTGGGTTAAGCTTTTAAACTGAACTTTGTTATTAGAAAAACTTTCCTCTACATGTTCAAACCAAGTGGGCAAAATCATCCTCACAAACGGTCAATTTGCCCAGTGTCCAACCCAAGAACATGTAGAATTAACCTGTTTCAGACAATTCAGTTAAATTCACACCCAGTGTATGCTAAGGGACCAAATTAACTCAGAAGTTGTGTAGATGACCGTGTTTCATACATGTATACACAGTAATATATTGAGGAATACAGGAGATTGCATGGAATTTTCATCCTTAAGTAGGTGTTTCTAAAATTCACCCCTCCAACGGGAAAATTCAATACCTTTTTTAGAAGTTCAACAGATGGGGAAGACCATTCAGAAAATTGACAATCAAGGGAGTATGCCCATGAAGTTAAATGTAAACCAGAACACCCCCATCCCTGGAGAAGTCATAACTCTACAATCTGCTCGATCAACCCAAGAGTTCAACCCCAAAAGAAAAGCCATGAGTCTGCTATAGAACTGAGGAAAGGTATCCTGACAAGTACATAATATTTTTCTATTGTGATGCCCAGGTACCTTTGCTTGACCAACCCTTGCATGCTGTGTTGGGAATCTGACAACTAAAGGTGACTAAACAGACACCTCAGTAGGAGTAGAACATATCCTTAATCAAAGTAACCATCTTAAAAAAACTTTCTCTCTTTTCAGTGACTACAAACTTTCATATAAAATCACTGATTGAAATAATTAAGCTTAAATTAATTCATGTACGGTCATCTTATTGCTTACTGTCCTTGATACACTACTCAGGTTATAATAGCCCGATGTTCGGACATATTTCTACATTCATATCCTAAAACGATTTCAAGATAAAAGGATAAAGTCCTAATAGCTTAGATTTAATTTGTCTCTTACGATCTACTACACAAATCCATATTTTTGACCCAATCCACCTTACAAAGGGAAATAAATTGCGATAAACATAGAGTCCAGCCAATGAAACATAAGTAGGTGAAGTTTACAACAAATAAGGACCTCTAATACAGCAATAAAAGGAAAGGAAACAGACACTATTCCTTACTCTTGCAAAAGCCAACGAGGGCTGGAAGAAAAGAGAACGAACGAAGAAGACCACGTGGTACTTGAAGCAAAATTTCAGGGGTGGACAGCTCCCTTTCGAAGGGCTTTCACGAGTAAGTGGGGAGGGGGGGTAGAATACTAGGTAAAATCATTGGACGTTTCTTACCCTCCTCCCATTGAAATAAATTTGGCCGAAAAGATTCAAAATGGAGGACGGAGGATAGAAAGACGGAGATCTTTTGAGGTGTATAATAATATATGTAGCAATCGTATTCTCCCGCGTTGAAGATTTATCGTTGAAACATCGATATCAAGATTCAGTTAAGAAAGATGCATTGCGCGCGAAATTTGGTAACGATAGCCAGGAGAGTTTGTGATGACCATGTTGTACTCAAGTGTTACTCTCCTCTTGGTTGGATGTGCTTGTCTAGAAGGCAAATTTGCTCCACTGAAAGTTTACGTCGTAAATCCGAGGAGGAGCTGAAAGAAGAAAACAGTTACGACGAAAGGCTTGCTAAAATAAGAGCTGAAGATGCAGCAAGCACTAAACTCGTTCATCTGAAGGTCAATCCTAAGGTCAAAATTTCGGAAACGGTTGTCTCCAAACACGTCCATGCGTTTGAAAGGGCTGCCTCTTTTGGGAGAACAAAAGAGAACTTTCATGGAGTGATTGACAGTTTTCTTGCCAAAGACAAAACTAGGAGAGGGCATATGGAGTTTCTTAAGGCAGCCATGCACTATATGGAGGAATTTGGTCTTGTAAAAGATGTTGAAACATACAACAGAATGTTGGATGTGTTTCCCAGGGGACGCTTTGAGAACAGAACTCTGTTTGATGCCATCTGGGCAAAACAACACCCTCAAGCCATACTTGCTTTGGACATCTTGACCATGATGGAAGATAATTGGCTCTTGCCTACTGAGGAAACCTATGACATTTTGTATGAAATTTTTGGCCATGCCAGTCAACCTTTGCAGAAGTGTAAACGACTGGTTTTTTGGTATCACAAGCTGGAGGAGATGTTTCCTAATCCTTACCCAAAGGTTTTGCCTGAAAGTGATACAGAACTGAGTAAGCTTGCTCTTGCTAGAATGACGAGAGATGAACAGATTATAACTATCTACAAGGTAATATCTGTAGTTATAATTAATTTCTCAAACTAGTTGGGCCATACCATAAAATCCAACATTAAAGCCCTGGGCTTATATAACTTGATAAGGGGTTTTGGATGGGCTTATAAACGGGGGGCTTATGTCTAGGAGGGGGGAGGCATACAAGCGGAATTAAAAAAAATATTTCGGAATGACGAGAGAAAACCTATCTGAGAAACAAATTAAAGCTAACATACTATTACAGTTAGAGCCATTACCCTATTACNAAAGAAACTTGTGGGAATGCATAACAAAGAGACATATACGCGCGTATATACGCGTATATGTGCGCGTATATACGCGTATGTGTGCGCGTATTGACATACGCGTATACGCAAAATACGCGCGTATGATACGCGTATGCGTAGTTCGCTTATATCTGAGCTGCACTGTATAACCACGGGGGCTTTAACATGGGATTTTATGGTATATGTTATCAAAAAGCTCAGTTGCTTAAAGCATTAAATTGGGTTTCTGTGTTATAAAATGTCTTCCTTGATGGGATGCTAGGCCATCCCATCCATCACAGGTCATTATGCCAGGTCATTCCAATAGTACACTGATACCCATTTATACTCGACCTGTTTCAATAGGAGCACTATAAGAGACCCAAGAACACAACACAATGAGGTTGGAAGTTATACCAACTAAAAGTTTGTTCCTACTCGAGTTTATTTTCTTTTGATTCTCAGGATAATTCTGAAGATGGAATACAAGAGTTTTTAGTTGGTGCTCAGACAGAGGGCCAGAAGAAAATTTTGGAAAATTACGACTCAGACAAACCATTATATGTCGAGGGACCTTCCTTTATCTGGGTCCGTCGACTTCAAAGACATTTCTTCACCCTTAGAACTGATGCTGAACTTGATGAGGAGAATGGAGAAGGTAAGGTTACAATCTCGAAGTAGCAGTAGTTGACACATCCTTCAGACTACATGTATGTTGATCAAGTTTATTGGATGTATCAATACTAACCAAATAGAACCAAACAAATTGAAACGAAAAAGATAAGTGAAATATACTAGGAATTAGGCAAGCAAGTGTAATTCCAATTTTGGTTCAAAGCATTATTGTACACATTTTCAAAAGATATGTAGACCAACGTTTTTGGTTTGTCATCACAGCTTGGCTAGTGCCAAGTCGTAATTCCCCAGCGGTTTCTGACCCAACTGGATGGAAAATTCACGTTTTCAGATGGCGCAAAGGCGTTGAAAAAAAGGGTATCCAATTTTTTTTTATTTCCATTTCCATCAAGCGAGTAAAAAAATATCTGTCCAATACACTTAAAAGTTTATTGAGAGACCACTAAATGAAAAACATATTTCCATCAACACTGCTCTGTTTCCTACAGGGGTGCTATGTTATGGAACAGCCTTTCTTGTGAACTCTGATCTACAGTTTCTTTAAGCAAATTTAAACGTAAACTGCATCATCACAGCTTTGAATTGAATGTGACACTGCATCCTTGAAAAGCAGCTTTATTGATATGTTAGGTTATTATTCTTATAATACCATAACAATTATAGTTAGTTTTGCTCAGCAGACTTGGATATTTTATACTTTTAAGTTGTGCTGAAGGAATTTTTGCCATGTACAAATAAAGTTATCAATCCATCAATGGTGTTGCTCATTTTGAAATGTTTTTTCTGAGCCCCCTGATATAAGCCCCTCCATTTATAAGCCCCCTGATATAAGCCACCTGATATAAGACCCCTTATATAAGACCCCTGATATAAGCCCCTCCATTTATAAGCCCATCCAAAACCCCTTACAAAGTTGTTATGTATAAGTCCAGGGATTATTAGTTGCAGTTTATGGTACTTAACTTTTATAAACAACAATTTAACTGTTTTTTCTTGTTTCTTTTAGGAAACGTTCTTGCTATCTGCATGAGTCATGCAAATGCCAGTGAAGAGTTACTGAGATCATGGATAACACATCTTCAGACTGAAAACCCACAGTTAGCAAACATCAGCATCATCTTTAATCTCAGTCAAACTCAACAATAAGTTTTTGAAGAAAAGATTAGTTGGTTTGTGAAAGAAGTTGTAGACCTTATTTGGAAGTAGTGATTAAATTGCTATGGGAAAGCAAATTCTATCCATGTATTGTTTATAGGCACAAAAAGATTAATGTTAACTAAGAGGAAATAAACATGTTTTAGGATAATTTACATGTTTGTGTTAGGTGTGTGTTTGTTTCTGTAATAGGCCACTTCCAAGGTTTCTTTTGCCTGTGTGTCTAAACGAAACCATTCATATGGAAATGTGTTCTGCCTACAGGTTCATTTTCATGCAAATCAAACTCATTTTCATATGAAAGGTTTTGCACAAAGACTTGTTTTGAAACAGAAGCACAAGGTAACTCGCAAATGGCCTATTAGCTTGGTATGACTCTGGTTGTGAGAGATGGCCACAAAGTTATTCATGGGTGGAAATATCAAAGCAGGTCAATCATGCAGCAACTCTTTTCATCCATCAAGGAATGGAACATGTAGTGATGTATGGGTTTGAACCCCTCCCCCCCCCTACCCCACCTACCCTAACAAAGAAAAAACCTCTCCCCTTCCTTGATTGTAGTCTATACCTAGTGTCCAAGCTAAGCAATAGTCAAGATCACCAAATTAAGTTATCAAGCCAAAAATGTGTCAATCTATGGCCACTTACTATTGTGACTGTTCCTTCAATGATGGCGGAGTAAGTGATGCAGTGTTAAGAGCGCTCACCTTCCACTAATGTGGGCTGCATTCAAATCTTGCCTAGTTCCTAGACCTCAATATTTCACCGCGGACAATCGTTTTCGGGTCACGTGGTCCGGGCAACTCACCTAAATCAGTTGACCGTGAAGGCCAGGAAGAAAGCCGTACAGGAACACGGCAAACTCGAATACTGAATACGGGGTCATAGACGAGTTGAGTTTGTTGTTGGTTTTCAAGATATGAACCAATTTTGGAGATTTGAAATAAGGTATTGATTGTTAGGCCAAGTCTAAAATGGGGTACGATAAATCAAATATTTTGGTCCGAAATACGGTAACTGTTACAGGAAACGAGCCGCACGCTCCACCAACAAGTTCAGGAAGTCCCCCCGCCTAGTCTTGCAACTTTGGTAAAATATATCAGTTCTAGACAGGTATATTAAGGTGCTGTAAGGAGACTTATAAAAGCACATACAGACGACATTCTGTATTCTTTTTTCAGAGTAGTTATGAACTAGCGGTAGTTCACAACAAACGGGAGTTCTTCGGAAAAAAGCTTTCCCACTTATTGCATAGAAAACTTAGATTTACCAGGTTTTTTTAATGTGTTCCTTTCAGTTATTGATCATAATTCTATTTCAGTCCGTCCCGCGTGACCAAACTGAATCTCCGGTTGGGGGGTGAGCTCCCGGCATACAAAAAAGACAGAGGTTCCCGTCGAAAATTTTGAAAAGAATCCCCCGCGAGATCCTGTTTTGTGGGCGTGGCTTGAAATTCTCTTAACCCCTAAGAGATACCAAATTCTTTTTTAACCCCTAAAAGATACAATGAGCATTCTCGTCCTTTTTATGTGTGTGTTCCCCCGGGACTGAACGTGATCTTCTTTAATTCTCTTTTCTTTTTTGTGATTTATTTTTCTTTCGGGTCGCTATTTTTCGAATAAAATGCTATCCTAAAATACTGCTAAAACCATCCAGCCTCTCAAATATTTTAAGAAGCTCCTGCAACCTCTTCGTATTCTCATTATTTTAAGCACTTGGGCATTGTTTTTGACGACACCAACATTCAAACTTTGTTTACTCAAAATACTATCGTATTCATGCGATTTTAACATTTCGTTATTTATTCTTTCTGAAAGATATCACTGCATGTTGAGTTACGCTTTGTATTTTCAAGGGTTAGATTGAGCTGTGTTAGCCTAGCCTGCAGGAGATGTCGTGTCCTATTTTAATAGGATTTTAAAGAAGGTAATAATTAAAATTGTTAAAATTATAATCAAAATCATTTGTACACCTGTCTTTTAGCGAATCTGCAAAGTTTGCTGCTTCTATTTGCTCTAATTTTATTTACTCGTCAGTTCATTAGTCTGTTGAAAGACTCAGCCGAGGCGGGGCAGTAAAAGGTTGAGAGTATTCAACATTGCATTGGTCGTATAGGAGGAAGGAAGGACGAAACCACTAAAAACTAATGCACACGAACTTAGTGCAACAATTGAAACTCAGAAAAACGACTACGTTACGGCACTTCCTTTGGTAACGTCTACTACAAAATTGCTACCAGGCTACATATATTAAGCTATCGCAAAGTTGTGTTGATATTTTAGCAGAATAATAAACTTTTGCAGCTGCTGGCTTTGCTTCTTTTTCTCATGTTTTGATTACATGTCTATAATGGCTTTAGGCGGAGCTTCACTTGTGTATTCAACACTGACTACATCTCACTATTCGCTGGCTTATGCATTGGAACTACTAACAACACAGGTGAGTGTTCAAGGGAAAAAATAGTGTACTTGCATTTTTGCTATCTATTAAACATAACACTTCAACTGATAGATGGCTTTTTAATTGAACATTACCATTCCGCACGTTCGTATAATTTCAGCTTTCCACGCAATCCAGCTGATAAAATTGTAGAAACACTCAAAACTGCACTTCTACCTGAAAACTACAGCCTCATCCTAAAACTTTATTTCCTGTCTAAAGACTATACTTCCATCTCAAAACTACATCCTTCCACTGTACGTCGTGCGTGGAAAGCGTAAAATCTGTGCGTCTCATCGGCCTGCAAGCAAACTCTTTCGACTCCGGTTAGAGAAGCCATGCCGGGACAGAACTGAGCCCCTTTCCTTGGGAGTAAATCAATCAAATTTCCTACGGGAAGACTCCGCCTCGATGTCTAAGCTATAGCAGTTATACGCATTTTACAGAAAAGGTAACCCTTTCTTTTACGTTCATGCATATGGAAAATAGTGATTTTACTAGTGAGCGCTTCTGTTCGAGAATGACAGTTATACCACTTTCTTTAAACTTTCAAAATCTCTCCAGCATGAGAAAGAAACCCCTTAAGGTGTAGTCTTGTCGTCTTGTCAATTGTAGAGAGTAACCCCCACCCCCTTCCGGTTCCTTTCAGTCTTTTCCGAACAGGCTTGCAAGCGCTGCTTCGATGACTCACAGTAAGAAAAGTGCAAATAGTTTCTTTTTCTAAATTAAAAAAAGAAAACTAGGAAGAACTGTTCACCGCCTTTGTAAAGTAAAATAGAATCACGGGCAGATTTCTTGCTACAAAGAGGGTCTCAATGGGGTGGTGACTTTTACGGCTATCGGTTGATATGATATTGTTTTGGTTTTTACTTTCTTACAGCTAACAAATTTGTCATCGCTTAAAAAAGTTAAAAAAATTAGTTTGATCACTGAAAAACACATTTAAGGTCTTAGGACCGTTTCGGAATGAAAACTGACGTTATCATTATAAGAATTATTGCCAAAGATGAAGTCTCCACAATTTTTCCTGTACTACCAGGGTCACCAAGACACAAAAAGAAGTATTGACAAGAGATCTTAAGACTTTCACTTTCGTGGCTAATTATTTTTACGGTTAATTTGCTTTTACGGCTAACCGAACGGTTAAAATTTTCCAACGGTTAACCCCATCGAGACCCTGTACAAAGTTACATATCTGGTGCTGCACGTTTATTCTTTTTACTGCAGTTAATATCAGTGTCGCGAGCGAGACGGCTGAAATTCAGACTACAGTATCTCAAGAGCAAATATAAATTGATGACAATCGCAGTCCAATCGATAAGAATGCAGCTGATCACGTTTACTTTTCGGTGATTTTTGTTTGCCTTGTTAATAGAAAGACCTTCCGCTTAAAACGCCAAGAAAATCAGTTATGTTTGAACAAATCGAAACCCATTTCGTTCGCGTGCAGACAAGCACGTGATTCTTGAGAGCTCTGATAAAATACTTCATTTCCTAAGAGGCGTTTTTATATATGTGCCATAAATAGGTCAAAGAGGCTTTGTTACACAGCCACATAAAATACAGTTGAGGAATTAAAAGGTCTCATTTCGTGCGTTCGTATGTGGACTGGCATATTTCTTTGACTGCAAAGTTCGCCAAAAAAGCAAGTTTACACAGTAGACCCACCAAATTCTCCGCTTTTTTGAATTGCTTTTGCTTTTCTTCCTGGGTTGAGAGTGGCCATAGCTTTCCTTATTGACAATCTGTTTTTTTTATTAACGCTCTTTTTTGAATTGTAGAGATTTGCTTGACGCAATGTTCTCAGCTAAGATGATCTTGGTTTTTGCTATGCTGCAAGGCTCGGCGACTGTCTTCGGAAATCCTTTGTTTTCTGTAATTAACAAAGGCCTAGAGGGATGGCAGAAAACCCATTGTGACGTAACTGATCAGTTCGTAAGCTACTGCTCTAAAGCCCCACGGGGGTTATATTCCAGGAGGGGAACTAAATAGTGAATATAACCAATATACGTAGTTTCGCTCTGTGGTTGACTCGTTTTACCTACTGAGTGTCTGCCACCACACCCCTTTTTTCACCACAGCAACTGAGACGATCCAGTGCAAACGAACAGTTCCCGTATTATTGTAAGCCAGGAGGAGTGACAGTAATCTACGTGAACGTAGGGCCAGGGTGGGTCAAGACCAATGGAATTTCTTACCTTGGCGCCGTGCAGCAGAACGCAGACGTCAAATTCATAACGGAGCAAGATGGCACCGGACAAATACTGGCCAAGTTCAACGGTGCAATACTTAAATGTGATGGCATCTTCTCGAGGAAACGAAAGACATGCACAATACCAAAAGCTCTGAGACCATGGTCTGGCGTTATAACAGTGAAAATAGGACGCCATCCTTCGACCAGGTTTCTCATGTCAGGCACACCAGGCATGTATGAAGAGCATTCCTTCAGCACTTTCTGTGTCATTTTAATTTTTTGAGATCGGTTCAGCAAATATTAATTGCCAGCTCTCGTATCAAACTGTTTTGCTTATTTGCTTCGCAGTTTGCCTGAATCCTGGTTTACAAGGTTACAATTGCGACCAAGGTAAGTAGGACTGCACTCTAGTGGCGTTTTCGGTAAATTATCGTAGACGTATCGGAAGGTTTTCGGAGTCTTCCTGTCCAATCAAAATTAACGCAAACGCTAAGCACATGTCACGTGATCTTGCCCGCGATATTAGCCAGAAGCTTACGCACTAAAAGGAACTTTCGGTATATCGAACGTTTCACAGCAGAGTACTGAAGGGAAGCAACTACGACCAAACGATCAATACAAATATTTCGACAGGCTTACTCATGATGAAGATTTCAGACGTTTGTTTTTTGGCTAACTCCTTGAGTAGGCAATATAAACCAATTCCTGCGCTGTGACTGGCAGCCCGAGCGGGCAAGATGACGATATCTTACCCAATCGGGATTGCCAGCTGTGTCCCGAAAGAAATATGGTGTTATCTATAGCGTACCATGAGACATTTATTTATCGAGCTTGTTCGATTAGGATATTAGCCTTCATTTTTGTGTAATTGTGGTCCTCGACAACCTCTTTCCCAGTGTCTCTCTTTTTTCCCTGGGAGCGAGGTTAAAAAAAAAAAACCTGGCCAGTTATCCAGCCATTTTTAATTAAATCTAGTCTGTTTACGTCATGATAATACACAATAATTTTAGAATCGTAGAAAAATACCACCCTTGAACTTAAAGTAACTAAAAAATATGCAGTGCTAAAGACAACTTACACAGCATTCTACAGTTTGGCTGACATGTAAACCCTGCTTTTTCTTTTTTTCAGACATCAACGAATGCGTCGTACATAAAGACAAACAGCTCTGTGCATGGAAAGATGGATGCGTGAACACCTATGGTGGATATAAATGCAAGTGCCCGCCAGGTTATAAAGTTTCGCCACAGGACTTTCGTCTCTGTGTGCCAGGTAAAGTACGAATATGGGAGACAATCACGCGCTTTTCATTTAAAAAACACCACGTCGTCTGTTACCGTTTCATTACCGTTACAAGCCTCATTCACAAGGTAATCCCTCTCAAGCTATTTTTAGACATATTACCCAGTTTTCCCGCGACTAATATCATCACGTGCGATGCGTGGATGTTTTCGTGGAGAATGAAAATTCGTGTAAGGCCGCTTGGGCTGTCACGGGAGTAAAATTCCAGGATTGGCTCAGTTCTGGACTCTACTGTTGTTTCCGAAATCGCCAGTAATCTAAAAGTGACTTGAGATGATGACCTTGGAAATAAGGCCTATAGTATATGCGGGGGGGGGGGGGGGGGGGGGGGGGG